ACATAGAAGGGACTGTCTTTACAGGAGGTTGAGTGCCAAATGCTGTGAGCTTAACTGTGCTCTAAGGCTTGAAATGGAAGGTGGCTGAGGGGACTTTTTTTCTAAGCTGGATGCTCTTCTACAATACCAGCTACCTTTTTGGGGGTACCTACTATGTGCCATTGGCTTTACATCAAAATTAACTTACTCTTTAGGTCAACCCCACTGAGCCACGATGGGGAAACTACATACAGAAGTGAAGTCACTGGTATATGCTAATAACAGGGGGAGTAAGAATTCAAACTTTGAAGTCTCTCCTTGGGGTAGGGGGTAAAAGGCAAGAGCTGATCTGCCCAGAGTCTTGGTACCTGTGTGAATTGTACTCGTTCATCCATTTTTCAGGTATTTGACACATATTTATTGAACACTTATTATGTTGAGACCGGCGGGTGCTATGTGAGATTTACTTTTCTTTGTAGAGTTTGTCTTCAGAAGCTTACAAATGCTAGCAACCAACCTATCTACTTTTCTTCTTTTCTTCCTTCCCTTCCTCCCTTCTTCCTTCTTTCTATCCGTCCATCTTATACCTGTTCCAAAAAGGAACTCAGGCAGCTGAGAGGACTGTTTCTAAGGCTTTGGGATCAGGCAGGCCTCAGTGTGATTCTCTTTTATTGAGTGGACTGGCAGATGACCTTGCATATTATATCACCTCTCTGAGCCTGTTTTCTCTTCTGTAAAATGGGGATAATTATGGTAACTACTTCATAGGACTCTTGAATTATACCATATACATGTAAAGCTCTAGAACAGCACCTATTACACAAAGGACACTACTATCTAGCTTAAACCTCATAGCAATCATTTCACTGAAGAGGAAACTGAGGTAAAAAGGAAATGAAGTTGCTTGTCCAAGGTCTCAGGCAGACTCCATAGTGTACATCCTTTAGTAGCTTGGCCAATACTCCAGGCATCAAGCCCGTCTGTGGTGGGTCATGTGACCCCATTTTATAGGTAGGAATGGGATAAAACATCTAAAGCAAGTATCATAGAGTTAAATGTTCAGTAAGTGAGTAATTGTAATTGCTAAATCAAAACCAGATCTGACACCTGAGCTCACTGCTTGGTGCCTGCAAGTCAGACAACCACCATGCTCCATGCCTACACTTCCCAGGGAAGCTCTGGAAAGTTATTTAGGTTTAATGACACTTAAACTGGGGTTTTGTACAGAATTTCTAATTACAAAAGCAATGCAAGTTCACTGCAGCATATTTGGGGGAGGAAGACAGGGAAAAAATTAAAATCCTGTGTTTCAGTATCCACGGAGGAGCACTGATGACATCTCGGTACATGTCCTTTCAAAATTTTATATAGGCCAACAGATTTTCACTGAGAGCTTTGGATAATGAAAAAGTCTTAAAGTGTTAGAAAAAGCAGGGTTGTTAGCAGGACCATCATGTTCCATAATACAAGTCCTGTCCTGTAAATGGCACTGTAGTTGTGTGGTACACAACTTTCATAGACATACAAAGTAGCCCCGGTTCTTAGTGCTTACTTAGCTCAATGGTTTAACCTTTAATCTTCCCCAACATGGCAAGGGGAAGCATTCTATTCTTCAGGAACAGTGGCCCATGGGCAGGCATAATCTTGGAACAGAGGAGGAGGGATGAAGGAATGTACAACCCTCCAGGGGGGCGAATTATAACGTCTGGAGGAGGAACGTAAGTAATCTAGGAAGGAAAACCTAGGCGATTTTAATAGGGAACCCCATCCTCATAATGAGTCACTAATCTGGTCTCAAAGAGAGGGAAACTGAGGCTCTGAGAAGAAATTTACTCAGTCACACAGTAAGTGGCCAGAAGTCAAGAAGAACTTGAATCCAGGACACTCTCTGACTTAGTTCAGTTCTACAAGAATGGATCAGAAAGACGTGGGTTCAAATCTCAATACTATAATTTACTAGCTTTTGTCTTTCAACAAATCATTTAACCTCTGAGTCTCAGTTTCTTCATTTGTAAAATAAGGTGAACACCTTCCTCATAAGGTTTAAATGTGAATTAAATGAGAAAAGGGTTTTTCTAACAATTATTGAGTGTGAGATGCCAGGGACAGCATAATGCGCTTCTAATGTATTATCTCATTTAATCCTCCCAATAACCCTATGAGAGGGGAATACTATTTTTATATCCATTTTACAGGTGAGGAAACTGAGACTCAAAGTAAGCCACTTGCCCAGCATCATATAGCAAGTAAGTGGCTGGGCTGGGATTTGAAAGAGGTCTGTCCGTCTCAGAGCAACAGAATCACCTAACATAGGTAAGTTTTAGCACATTACTTGCAAAATACAAACACTAAATAAATAGCAGCCATCATTATTGTGAATACAATATTATTCCATATGTGACTGGATTACCTTTGTTTTTAACTCCTTTCTAAAAATAGCTGGTCTTAAAAAAAAAAAATCTCCTTAGCAGAGAAACCAAGAACTGGGCTGCTCCAAGAAGGGGAAAGAGGTACCAACCTCACCTAGCCCTGGACCATGCTCATGCTGACAGGCAGCAAAGCTTGGGCGGTGTCTCTTTAAAACCCTGACATCTCTGGTTGGGACAAAGGTCTGGAACAGTCCATGCCTCCTGAATGAAAGGTATAACTCCTGTTGGAAGGATCTGGCGACCTTGCAAGCTGGCTCATGGTGTCCCTGTCTACCGATCCCAGACTACTGGTCCTTCTATCCAGAACACATTCTGGAGCCTTGTCCTGTTCAGAGACATAGAAACCTTCTGCCCCGCAATTTGGGTTTCTGCTGATTTCTGAAGATGGGCGCGTGTGATGAAAGAGGCAGGACCCAGAGGCAGAGGGAGAGGACCCATTTTTAAAAGCCCAGCGAGCACGGACACGCCACCTGGAATCCCAGCCTTCCTGAGCCCAGCCAGCATGAGTCACTCCCCAGCCCTTCACCTGTGCATTGCAACACAGCTGACAGAAACTCCACAGTCTTCCACAGGGTGGACAGAGAGATACACACAGAGAAGTGTGCCATCCTTTGGACTGCAGTAAGCTTTGCAGTCACAGTTGGCACCAAATGACCCTTCTGCCACCAATAAACTTTGTTGAAGTGGTTGGGTACCCATGCTCTGCTGCCAGATCAGACTGTAGCTCTAGCTCTACCACTGCCTAGTTCTGCAGCTTGAGTAGCTTACTTAATCATTTTGTACCTCAGTTCCCTCACCTATAAAATGTGGACAATAAAAGTGCATATCTCATAGGGCTGTTGTAAGGATGAAGTGAGATAGTGCATGTAAAGGCTTAGCACAAAGCTTGATAACATGCAGTATATGGAGCACCTACTAGGTGCTCGACATTGGAGATCCCACCGTGAACAAGACAGGCCAGGTCTTTGCTCTTCTGGAGCTCACCTTCCGGAGGAAAGGGAGGGAAGTAATAAACAATTCAAAAAATATAAAAAAGTCACAAGGGCTCTGTAGAGAAAATAAGGTGGTATGATACAGAGTGGCTGAATGGTTACTTTAACAGGAGTGACTGAAGGGGGCTGCTCTGAAGAGGGAACTATATCAGCAATTATTATTACGATTATTAGCAAGTAGTAGTATTTGCTTACCTATCAGGATCCCCTGGGCTGTCTCCAACACAGCCTCCAGTGAGAAACCAACCTCTGACAGTTCTCAAACCTAGTACCCCCTCTCCACAGGTCTGACCTCACCCCAAGAGGGCTCCTTTGATTTCTGACTTTACCCTGAAAAACCTCCACACAATTGGCAGGAGTAGCTGAAACCTCGCTTGCCTTTCCCAGAGAGAGAAAAGAGTGGGCCAAGTTGAGGTTCCCAGGAAGATAGAGCAAAGAGATAATTTGCCAAAAGGAGAAGGGGGTGGGGAAAACAGAGAGAGTGGGGGAAAAGATACCAAGATCTTTGGCTTAGATTTAATTTCAAACTAATCCTGGCGGAAGCTCTTTTAAAAGCTCTAACATTCTCCTGTTTGCGTGTGTGGATATTCTGGGGTTTACCAACCTTGTTCTTTATAGAAGACAGCTCACAGCAATGATTTGACAATTACTTCATCTAACAGGCATCTGATTTCCCCCGAGTTCCCAATACACAACGAAGCACTCAGAGCCTGTGAAACGACCAGCTGGCTAAAGCTTCAGAGGTGGCCGACTTCAATTTTTCCATCCCTTCTGTGCTGACCAGAGGTATGTGGCTTGCCCACACCCCTTTCAGATCTGTATCACACCAAATAAAAGGCTGCTCCCCACCTTACTTCCCACCCCCTCGTCACCAACACACACACCTCCAGATCGTAAACTCCTCTAGCTTAGTAACCCTGTTTTTTGGCCTGTTTCTCTAGAACCCAGACTAGGGCCTAGCGCGCAATGGGTGCTCAATGAATGTCTGTTGACTTGAGGCCACTGACTTCAGTGCAAGGGGCAGCCAGATTTGGAGATGACTGAAGATTTGAATCTGGGCTCTGACACTCACTGGCTTGTGCCCTTGGGCAAGTCACTTTACCTCTCTGACCTCCATTTCCTCCCTCATCTGTAAAATGTGTGTCGGGGGAGAAAAGGTGAAGTGATAATAAATCTATCATAGTGGGTTGCTGTAAAAAGCAAAAGAAATCACCTAAAAAACTGTGAACGATTATTCACAAAGACGATATTACCTTAAGGAGAGAGCTCTGAAGATAAGAGAGTTTATACAGAGACTCACCTGGGGAAGATTTGCTTTCTCCTTTGAGAATTCCCCAATGGTAGAGGAGGGGAGGGGACAAAGGAATTGGGGGGGTTGTTTCTGGGTATCTGGGACACTAACTAGAAACAAGAATCAAGATTTCCTTTAAGCCAAGTATCTGTTTGTCTCTGTATTTTTCCTCTAGTTATCTTGCTTCTTTCCAACATTTTTTTCTCCTTCCCTCCTCCCTCATCTCCACCCCCCACCCCCTCACTAAGGAAGGAATTGGCTGGCTCCACCCAGTGGGTCCCCTATAGCTCCGCCCTACTCGGCAGACCAAGAGTTAACAGCTGCACCTGTTGAGCTATACCTACAGTCACCGGCACCTGTACCGGCAGCCAATCAGGGCCAGCGCTGCTTGGAACCTACCTGTCAGCAAAATCTCGACACCCAAACCTCAACATAAATCAAACACTTCCCTGGGCAGGGAATGTCTGTGTCAGGCAGGAATTAGAGACAAGCGGTCAGCAGAGCCTCAGTGCGGATCGTCGGAGCCTGGGAGCAGGAAGATGTCGAATGAACTTGAGTGAGTAAACATCGGTGGATGCCTGGCGCTCTCTGAGCGTGGAGGCTGGACGGGGTTTCCAGGAGGGGGAAGAGCAGGGAGGCCGGCGCCAGGATTCACAGAGCAATTTGTAAGGGTAAATGAATGGGCTGACGATCTTGCTTTGGCGTGTTGAGGCAAGCCCCCGTCTCAAGTTAGAGCTGAGTGTTTCCCTGGGAAAATAGTTTTTCTCTTTCTCTCGCTGAGCAGTTTCGAGCCAGGTAGAGAAACACAGGACTGAAACTGGGAAGGTTTTTGGCACCACTTTTTGATACTCTGAAGGGGCCTTAGAAATCAGAGACAGGCCCACTCCCATTGAGGCTCTCTATCTTCTTGCCAAAAGGAACTTCTTTGAGGTGGTTCTAAGAGCTGTCTTAGGCAGAGAGTTGAGTTTCTCTAAAGGGACTTGTTTGTTGGATTGGAACAATCCCAAGTGGGACGGTTACAGTGTGGTGGTTAGACATGTGCACACTCTGTGATGGGCCTGACCTAGGTTCAAATCCAGGCTCTGTCCTTCGTAAGCTGTGTAATCTTGGACAAGACATTCAACTTCTCTGAGCTTCATTTTCCTCATCCGGAAAATGGGCACAAGAATGCTTTGTTGAATTCTTGAAATAGTTAAATGTGATAAAAGCTGTAAAATGCTTTGCACATAATCAGGGTCTGAAGATGTGTTTAATTAAACGTGGTTGATTAAGTTCAGAGGTGGTTTTAAGGCTGGGGAAGCTGAGAAATGGTTTTCGATGAGGTCACCTCTGCTGATTGACAGGATGCATGTACCTTCCAGACCACATCTGGGATTTAGGATCCTGACTGGCTGGTGCTGACCTTTACCTTCAACAGTTTAGGATTCAGCCCTCAGAGAAGGTGGGGTGAGGCTAGGATCTGGACTCCTTTAGCCTGGATATAGGGAGCTGGCAGGAGAAGCCAAACCTCTTAAATATAGCCTCTCCTTTCCTGCCACCCTCAGAGGTGAGTGGGCAGAGGTAAGGGCTGAACCATCTTTTTTCTAGCTACTTCTCAATAGATTGTTTTAAGAACTTGAAGACTTGCAGGCAGAGCAGCTGGTGGGTTCTGACTGCAGACAGGTTTCTTCTATGTCACTAGCTAGCTCTAGGTCCTTCTGGGTTGGCCAATTATGTTGACAGTACTGTACAATCAATCACTGGGGTTAACAGGCATCAGATTTCCTCTGAATAAATTCCCCAGGGATGACAATGTGTGGACAACTGGACCACAACTAGAATAAGGGTAGCACTGGCGTTGACACCTGAGTTTGGGTGCCAGCTCTATCACTTAGAGCTGTGTGACCATGGGCAAGTCACATCTCCGTTTCTTCACCTGTAAACTGTGGCCAATAGTGGTGCCCACTTCAAGGAGTTGTTAGGGGGTGCAAAAATTTAAAAAGAGTGATTGCTTTTAAGCCCGGTAAGGAGTAAGCTAATAACATTACCGTTCCCTCATACAGAAATAACCGATCCACGAGCATTTCCGAACCTCTTGTTTTCTATTTTTCCATACTTTGAACACACACACACAAAAATCTTGAGATGTATCTCTATCCCTGTTAGACCTGCTGGTTAAACCTGCAGAGACTGCAGACAGTCAGGGAAGTCCTCAGGGGGTTACTTGAACAGAGAGGTTTCCTGCTTTTCTCCTCCCTATAATAACTTGAGTTTAAAGTCAGCTCCCCTGACAGCTGAGTCTTCTCCTTGCGGGGTGAAAGACGGAAGTCTGTGCCTGCTGAGTAATTGCGGGCAGACTCCGAAGCCACAGCTGGAGATGATTATAATGGCAGAGCCTGGGGGCTCAGCTGCCCCTGCAGATAAGGGGGAGACACCAAGTGCTTGGCTTGCAAGTTCTGAGCTGCTGCCTTGCTGCAGTCGGGCTTTTTTTGGCATTCCCCTGAAAAGGGCGCACATTCTGAGCCCGACGGATGACCGACGTTCGCCAGGCCCCGGTGTGGTGGGAAGGCTGGGCTTGGATCTGACTCTAAATCCTACCACTTACCCCCTGCAGGATCCTGGGGAATCTGTTTGTTCTCCCTGACCCTCAGTGTCCTCATCTGTCAAGTGAGGCTGTAGCACTTACCTGGCAGGAAAAACTGTGAGCTCCCGCACTGGCGGGAACCCCAAAACGCCGGCCGGAGGCGCAGGCCCGGGGGTAAGGCAGCCCTCGAAGGCTGGCTCCCGAGAAGCGTGGAGGCCGGCGGTGGATGTTATTCGCCAGCTCCAAGTAGCTGGCGGGTGGCGAGGGCGGCCTTTCATGTGGTCGGCCCAGCGCCGGGTGGGGCGCCGCCCTGCTCCGGGCCACTCCGGGTGCCTGGAGCCCGCAGCCTCGAGCCGCCCGAGGCCCGAGTAGCCGCAAGGGATGCTGGGGCGGCGGCCCGGGGCGCCGGAAGTCGCCGCTGACAGCCCGGGTCTCGCGGGAAAACAGCTGGCGCCTGCGTGCTGCTAGCAGCCGGCGCCCTGAGAGGCGACGGCGCCGTGGGCTCCCAAGAACCCGAGCCGCTGGTGGCCGCCAGTTCCTTTGGCGTGCCCTACTGTGTGCCCGGCCCGCCAGCACGCCCACCCCCGCCCCGCCACTCGGGCGGGAGAGCAGGGTCTCGGCCATTGGAGGACTCGGCACACAGTAGGTCCCTGGGGCGGAGGCGTCGCGTCGGATCCCGCAAAGCCTCGGCGGCCCGCAGTCTGGGCACCGCTGCTGTCTGGAATCTTCTCAACGCCCTCTCCCCATTCCCCCCATCCGCCGCCTTGCAGAGACTGGACTGGGCTGGGGGCGGGGAGGGGGGCGAGAGCCGTCGCAGGCGTGGACCCACGGCCTATCTGATCTCCCGGAGCCCCGGCTCCAGACTGCCTGGAGCTCTGAAAGAGTTAACCAGGAACGCCTCCCGCTGCGGTTTTGTGGTCGAAACCATGATTGCCAGGAGCAAATTTTTGTCGTGCACGAGATGTGTTATTAAAAGCCGGAGCCGAGCTGTTGGGGAATGGAAAGTTAAAAGCCCTCATTGAGCTCCGGCTGCGAAGCAGGCAGGCGCGGGGTCCGCCTGGGCTGCGAGGGGATAGGCGCCCGGGGCCGGCCTGGGGCTGGCCGCACAGTCCCCGCAACGTGTGGCCGAACCCAGCAGTCAGAGCTCCCGCGTGGAGGAACAGGAGGAGGAAAGGGCGGCAGAACCGAAACACGGATAGGTTCCTCGAGTTTTTGATAGCCAACGTGATGGAGCCCTGACCCGCACCTCGGACTGTGTGTGGAGTACCGGATAAATGCTGTGCTCCTTTAACCCTCCCACCAAGCCAGCCGGGGACAGGAGTGCAAATGCAGTTTTGCAGAAGAGGAAACCTAGGCTTGGCACCCCTGGGATCTTAGCTGGGTCTTAACGGAGGGGCCGGAACGTTGCACCGTGATATGCCACCCTGCCTTCTGTGCACTTAGACTTTGAAAATAGACAAGGAGATATGCCAGGCTGTTAACAGCGGTTATCTCTGAGTGGAAGAGTGAGGATGAATGTGGATTCTGTTCTTCCTATTTTTCTGTAGGCTCCATCTTTTGGGAATCATTATTTTTGAAAGAGAGAATTATTGGTTTACCTAGACACATTTCAAAATATGGTCCCTAGACCCGCATCATTATATCACCACCTGGGGACTTGTTAGAAATGCCAGTTCTTTGCCCCGCCCTAGATCTACTGAATATGAAACTTTTTTTGGTTGAGGGTAGGGCCCAGATAGAGCCCAGTATTATGTGTTGTGACAAGCCCTCCAGGTCATTCTAATGCATGTTCAAGTTTAAAAACCATTGGCCTAGAAGACCCTGCGGAGGATTGGGAGGCAGGAGGTTCCCAATCCACCACTGTCCTGTAGTGTAGCTGCTGAGTCAGCAGGCTAAGTGTGTAGCCCTGGGGTCACACCTGTATTTAAAGCCCAGCTCTGCCACCCATGGATCATGAGTCTTGGCTGAACTCTTCCACCTCTCCAAGTGTCAATTTCTGCATATGTAAAACAATGATAAAAATATATTCACCTCACAGGGCATGTGGAACAATGAAAAGGTACAAGGCTTGACTGCATTAAATAATTTAGTCCCTCTCTCCTTCCCTTGTCTTCCCTCCTCTCTTTGGAATTTAGCTTTCCCTTCTGTAAAATGCAGCAAATAATCCTGGCTAGCTGCCTTTCCTCTATTTTTCTTGCCCCCTAAAACTGAGAACTGACCTAGTGAAAGACTTGAAGGGAAGTTGTCTCACTGATATTTGGTGTTATTTCACTGGGACTTTCCAGGAGGTCAGCAAGAATTGGGAACATTCATGGACAGGGACAGTGTGACATTCACCTTTGTGTCCCCAGTGTCCAGCACGTGGCCTGGTACAGGATAATCCTTAGTGAATGTTTGTTGAATGAATCAATGAGTGAATGAATGAAGGGATGTGGCACCTCTGAGTTTAGAGATGGATTTCAACTTCTTTCACACCTCAGTTGAACAATTGAGAGAAAAAAATGAGAACTGGCAAGAAACCAAGAGAAAAATACAGCATGAAAGAAAAATTCCCATACAGGGAAGAATTTTTCAAAAGTGAGAAAGTGAGTTTCTGGTATAATTAGGAAAGGGCACATAATTTGCATGCAACTAAAAGTGTTTGCTGAAGTCTGACCACCCTCAGCTTGCCCACTTGGATCCAGATGACAAAGTTGATGGTGCTTGATCCTCTTATCTGGAAATCTCAGAGCATTAGTTCTGATTCTGTCAGCGAGGAAGAGAGGTCCCATTTATAGATGGGAGAAAGTGAGGCTGTGAATTGTGCAGTTTTCTGGGGACTACCCACAAACTGTTAGTAGTAATAATAATTATAGTTCATATCCTTATGTGCTGGCAGGGTGCTGATCACGTCACCTGCATTATCACATTGTACCTTCCAACGGTAATGCATCACAAAGTTGTACAGATTAAATAAGACAATGACAAGAAACTGTTTAGTTAGCACCTGGTAC